CTCCTCTTTTGTAAAAAATAAATGGATATGTTGTTAAGTTAAATCCTGTTATTGTAAATTATGGAGTATCACAAGGTACTTTGTAAGGTCCATTATTATTTTTGTTGTATGTTAACGATATAGTCAAGGTTGTCAAACATTGTCAAATTGAATTATTTGCAGACGACACGATGGTTTATGAAATCCGAACTGATGTTAAACACATGGAAAATGTTCTAATTCATGATCTTGATTGTATATTCAAATTACTTTGCAATAATAATTTAAGTATAAATACAGAAAAAAATCTAATTTTACTTGTTTTGAAGAAAATCAAAATTAAATCTGACTGCATTAAATAATGTTAATATTGTGATAAATAACATTAATATTATGCCTGAAAACCAGATTAAATACCTGGGTGTTATATTTGACAACGAGTTAAATTTACACTCTCACGCAGACTATATACTGAGAAAGTTTTCTAAAAAAGTAAATTTTATTTCCAGAATTGGTAAGCATTTAACGATGCATACAAAATTGTTATTATACACCGCATCTTGAGTTCTGCTTCACCATTCTGTACAATTTACTGAATTATATAATACAAAAGTTCGAAGTGGTACAAAATAGAGCTTTACGAACAATATTAAAATGTTGATCTGTTTTATCTATGTTAAATGTCCTAAATGTGCTTTCCGTCAAACAAAAGATTATCGTTAATGTGTTTTTGTTGATTTTAGTTAAACATAATATGTGACCTCATATCTGTAAGAAAATACAATATTTTAACTCATATAATACGAGAAATTGCATTTATTTTATATTAGTTGATAAGTGCAACACCAGTCAAATGCATAATTCAATAATGTATAAAGGTCTTTTAGAATTTAATAAATTGCCCAAAGATAATAAACTGTAAAAATTTAAAATATTACTTAGAACACATGTTTTATTTATCCATTAATGTTTTAATGTTTGTTATTGTACTTTTTACATTTATTCATATATTTTTATATAAAGGTAGATATATCTATACATATCTATAGTCCTCATGTTGTTATGTTTTTAAAAATTTAAATTTATCTACTTGTATACTTTATTTTTAATCATAATTTACTTTGTATTTAGTATGTAGCTTTTGCTAAATAAATATTATAATTATTATATATTTATATTTACAGTGTTGGCCATAATTTTTGCAACCACTGTAAAAAAAATCTAACTCTAAAACGCCTTTATTATTCTTTATGAAATTTTCGATAAAAATACTTCAACTTATATGTGTTCAAGGGTTTTTTGGAGAAAATATTTTTAATGCCCTTTTATTTAATAATAAAAAAACGTTCAAAAATAACTTAGGGAAATTTTTTTTTTAGTAAATAAAAAATATACTGTTCAAGACCGTATTTTTGTTAGTACTCCCTGAAAATTTTGTACAAATCAAATGAACAACAACGAAGATACAGCAATTCAGTCGTCTAAAATGACCACTTTTTAGCAAAATAATCAAAAAGGGGCCATTTTTACCGACTATGAAGCGCTGTATCTTCGATACTGTTCGTTTAATTTGTACAAAATTAGGGTATACTAAAAATAAGGTCTTTACAGCGCGTTGGAATAACAAAATATATTTTTTCAAATATTTGGATTCATTTTTTTTAAATATATTTCAACATTTACAGGGCATTTATTTATAATAATGGCTTAAGGCTTAGTAAATAGTAAAAGACCACCAATAATAATATTAATAATAATAATAATAATAATAATAATAATAATAATAATAATAATAATAATTTTTGCTTGAATCATGTAAAAGCGAGTCAAAAAAAACCTGCTGGTCTTCACGCAATGATGCAATAAAGCCCTACGTTTTAGGTATCTTGATGTTCTTAAGGCCTTGTCATCTAATAATAAGGCTGAAATAGACGACTCGAAAGGATTTAAAAGTACATTGGAGGACTTTGAAACAGTGTTTTTGATTATTCAGCAGTCAGCAGCAAGATATCCAAAAATCTAGTAAACTTTTAAAAAATGTGTTAAATGACATAAGCAAACTTCGGAATGCATTTTTAGATATAAAAAAGAGGCCGATATTACATCAAGTAAATGGGGTATAATTCCAGAATTTTGCCAAAAACGTATTTGCAAACGTTTTTTTGATGAAGTTGCAAATGACTTTGTTTTTTAAACTGCTGAAGATACTTTTAGAGTTGAAGTTTTTTTTTTAAGACCTTACAGACAGACAGTTACAAAGTAAAACAATTAGTTTACATCAAATAGCCACTAACTTCAGTATTTTGGAAACAGAAGTTCTGTTAAATTCTACTGATACAGAAGTATACTAAATGGCGGAAAACATTCGTGAAATATATGAAAATGATATTTTAGACTTCCATATCAATGAATAGCTTTTCAAAAATGTTTTTCTGACGAACTAAAAAATATTAAGTCAGTAAAGAATTTGCTAAAATTTATTATGGTTGACAATTACTCATCCAGTAGCAGCTTTACCGAAATAATAACACTATGTTTTCTATACCTTACAATTCATGTGACGGTTACATCGGCAGAACTCCATGAGTCTATATCGATTATCGTCTTTGGCAATGATCTTCATTAAAAATACAGTTGCCCGCTCCATAGATTTTCAAGGAAGTATTACAAAATTTTCCGCTGCTAAATCTAGGAAAGTAGCTTTTTAATGGACACACCTTTATTTTTTATGCCCTTATATTTTGTTTATAATATATGTACACACCCTGTATTATTATAACTAGTTTTATTAGTTTTAGTTTATTTTTCCTGTGTATATATATATATATTTTATATAATAAAAGTTTATAGACAATATATAGTCTTTTATTTTTTCTTCACTATTAAAGCCGTAGATTTAAGAGGGTATAAAGGTTGTTGTGTTCCTCCCAAATATAACATAAAAAATATTAGTACAAAATTAAAAAAAACACCTAGAGGCCCGTGGGTATAGCCTGGAACCCGGGCCCGTTGGGTTGTTGCTACGGCGCTGGGTCTTTAACAGCATATTTTTTATTTGCTTAAAAAAAATTACCCTGAAAGTTATTTTTCGAACGTTTCATTATTAAATAAAAGGGCTTTAAAAATATTTTCTCGAAAAACCCTCGAACACGTAAACTGAGATATATTATATAACTTATTAAGTTGAAGTATTTTTATCCAAAATTTCATAAAGAATAATAAAGGCGTTTTAGAATTAGATTTTTTTTACAGTGGTTTAAAAATTATGACCAACACTGTATATATATTCTAAAAACAAGTATACCAAAAATACTCTATAAACCAACTTTGCCTATAGGTAATAACTCTTTAAACAGTTGGAGAGTTAACGGAGTTCATTAAAACGGTTAAATTTTTCTTGTTAAAAAGCTTTTGTGCGGACGCATTTATTCATAATATTTCGAATAATACGTTACACGTAACAATATGAAACAAACTTTATAAACGAATTATTATAATGAAAGGCAAAACTTTTAAAAGTAATTCAATTAGACTTAAATCAAATTCTTCTCGAAGACAAAAGTTTTCTTTTAATTTTTGCCACTTGTTTAAACTTTTTAATTACACGCACTAAATGGGATCATTGTATTTAATTTAAATTTGTCTCTTAGCTGAAAAAATTTCAGTTTAATTTTAAAGTTTAAAACAATTAACTTCGAAACATTTTATTAAATCACTAGAAAAGTAGACCTTTATCGTAAATAGAACTTTTACAGTAAAAAAATCTGTTAAGTAACACTAATTAAAACGGCTAAATTTTTTTACACATAAAAATGATTTTTTCTACTTCCACCTTTAAAACGCCCTTTATCGTACATTAAGTGACCTTTTAAATACACATTGACAAGTTGTGGCTTTATGGCGCTTTAGTCACGGGCTGAAGTTAGCAACAGGTTTTTAGTCACGAGCTGAAGTTAGTTGACAGTTGTCAAATGTCATACAATCGTTAAAATAAAGTGCCTTTCTTATAAATAATACTAAATGTGTAAATTATTTTATTATCTCAATACAAAAATACAAAAGTATTAAATAGTTTCTCAACGCCAATATTTAAAAAGTTTATATGAACATTGTACTGACCTTTTAATTTCGCCATCAGTAAACTATAACTTAAATTCGGGCACCGACTCCACTGTAAAGTGCTCATAAAACATTTTCTTTACTTTCTCTGTGAAAAACTGTCAATTTTCAAGAAATACAATTCGATTTATAACGTTTATAATCTGTGTTTATAAAATATAAAAATTTGACATTTGACGGTGACACAGAGATTTCCCTATTGTTTCATAGATAGCGCTCTATACAAATTTTTGATTTAAATTTAATAATAAGTAGGTATTTGTCGTAGAAAAAGTACAATATGCACCTCGTTTATAAACTTTTCTATACACTCATTAAATTAAGCACTCGCTCGCAAGCTCGCTCGTGCCCAAATTAAATTCGTGTATAAAATGGCGTTTATCAAACTTGATACATAATATAATATTAAACCACTTTTGGCATCCAAAATTAAAGTAATATGAGTTTGCGACGGTTGCTGAGTTACTTAAACGGTAGAGCGGTTTACCACAATCAAGTAAAAGATCGGCAATTTTTAGAATCATGGCTAAAATGTGGGTTATGATCACTAATGCTTTTAAGAAAAGCTGCTAGCGTTGAGACTAGTCGCTCATTGTGCTGTTATGAGAGGTCATTCTCGGGCTTTCTGTGAAACCATTTTTTTTATATCGAGTTTCAAAAAAATGAAGAACCAATGTTATATCACGTTGTAGGGGGGCATAATTAAGATGCACAAAGTGGTTTAAAATTATTTATAGCTTTACAAGATTTTTTAGGAGGCCGGCCTTATTTTTGTCTAATTTGCCCGGATTAGGTACTAGTAGCTTATCATATTTTAAATTAAAAAAAGATTTATTTTAAATTTCAAATATAAACTTTTTTCATTTATTAATTTTTAATGCATAAATAAAATAATACATTACCTGAGCATTTATAACACATGTTGCGATAAGTAGTCCAATAGATGTAATAGTGGAAACAGTTAGACAGGACAAAAAAAGAGCGTGTTTAAGCCGTATACAATAACGTTGATAAAGAGTTTCCAACTCCATCCCATCCACTGAAAATAAAAAAAAGTTGTAATATACGTAACTTAAATATAAATCTATGAAATGAGAGTTATAATTTCTTGATTTTATTCTCAAAAGAAAATACAACTTTGTTTAAAACCGCACGTTAAAATGGGAATGGAAAACTTGAAATAATTTTATAAAATATTCTTATGGGAAATTTTGCGCCGCCACTGAATGTACTCCATGTTATACATATTTACCCTTTTTGTGGGCCCAAGAATCGATTCCAGTAAATTTCATTTAATAGAAAAGTTGAAGACAATTAAATTCTGCTATGATTGATTACATTATATTATATCCTACATCAAAAAATAAGGTACTTATGCTAATTTTCTCAGTTAAATTGAATAAAAACAGTTAAGATCGTCATTTTATAAAATTTTACGAATTTAAAAACCTTGACTATTGCATTATTAGTGAGGTTACAATCAGTCTCGATTTATGTCGGACATGTCCGGAATTTCGGTCTTTCCCTCGGTCTTTGTTGAGCTTTTTAATTTGTCTGGATTTTTTGCTTAGATATTGGATTTGGTATGATAATTATCGTTGTCTTCTCATTTCACCCTTTGATTTAATATCCATATCAAGGTGGTTGTAAGAAAAAGGTAATCCGCCACTATGTAGTGAAGAGCAGCCATTTTAAACAAATTAAAATAATAATATTAATTGTATTATCACCAGCACCAACAGTGTGAAAAGGTGGGGTTGAAGTAGGTTAAAATCGTCTTACCAGATTTGTTTACATAGTTAATTCTATGTATAACTATTTATATACAAAAGTCACAAGTGAAGCTAATATAAAACGTTTAAAAAAAAGTTTCTTAACTTCACAAATAGTTTTAGAATGGTCAAAAACGGATTTTCAAAATTTTCAAAATTTTGCACAACTACTAAAAATTTGGAACACAAATCCGTTTGCCTTATACAAAATTAACGCATAATGAGTAAAAAAATTCTAACTCTGAAATGCCTCTACCAATCTTTATGAAATTTTGTATAAAAATACTTCTACTTATATCTCAGTTTACGTTTTCGATGGTTTTTCGAGAAAATATTTTTAAAGCCCTTTCATTTAATAATAAAAAAACGTTTGTAAAATAACTTTTAGGGAATTTTTTTTAAGTAAATAAAAAAATGCTGCTAAAGGTCTAAAATTTTGTACAAAAATACGTTCTTTCACAGCATAATATTTATTTACTTAAAAAAATCCCTATAAAAGTTTTTTTTTCAAGCGTTTTTTATTATTAAATAAAAAGGCTTTAAGTATATTTTCTCGAACCCTTAAACAAGTAAACTGAGATATAAGTTGAAGTATTTTTATCCAAATTTTTTTAAAGATGGGTAAATGCGTTTTAGAGTTGGATTGTATAATAGAAGAGTTAAATTAACCTAATTTAAAAATTTATTTATAAAAAACTAAGTTTTAGCTTTTTTACCTTATTTAGTAGTGACACCAGAAATGTTTTTAAAAATAATTAAAAAGTTAGTAGGATAATTCCCAACTCCACTATTTTCTTACATCATAATTCACTGAAAAGTACGTAATAGGCGAAAAAACATGTTTATCATTGTAAAAGAGCGTCATGATTATGCATTACTGTTGTCTCTGTAGGGGACAAGGATTTTCTGTTAGGTGTCTAACTAAATATGTAGCATTATTAAAAACGGTTCGTTTTTAATTTTCCTTCCTCTTATTGGGCAAAATAAGCGCGGGCCGTTTGGTTTTATAGTAAGTGAAATGTCTTTTTGTCGCTACGGATAGACTTTTTATTTTACCTATTAATGGATTATTGGAATATATGATTATTATTACTATTATGCAGCCTTATTATCGTAGTTTAATCTGTGGTAAAATTTTTCTTCAAAATAAAGATTTTTTAGTTATAACGATTAATTAAAGAAAAATGGGTGGGTGAGTCTTTGTAATCTAAACATTGTTCGTAGAAGAAAAAGGGAAAATTAATTAAAAAAATTGTTATTAATTTAGTTTTGACAGTATCAGTGTGGTTAAACTAATTCAATTTAATTTAATTTTGATAAGGTAGGAAAATCAAATAAAATATCTTTAATGAAAATAGTTTAACAATATTATGGCTTTAATCGAATTTAAAAATGTATTTATGCTTATTTATATTTATTTGAACGCTTTAAGCCTGAACGCACACTTTTGGGAAATCCTCTTTAGCCATAACACCAGAGTTGACTTTTGCGAGTAATCTATATCCTGAGGGATTTTGCAGTCATCCACACTCTAATCTACCTTTAGGATCCCCCTTTTTGCCAGAAACCTTTAACGCAATTTCAAATGAGATCAGGTATGCCTATGCAAAATGTATTATTTACGACCATTTTAATTTTTAAATTACATAAATATTATAAAGTAACAAAATTTAACGTGTAATCAAATAACACACTGTAGAGCTAAAACTAATACGCAGTATTCAGAATCATAGGAGAGGGGTTAGGAAATTGGTTAAATTTGTTGAAATAATTTGCCAATAGTATACACCGTCCATTAAGTATTTAATGAATTTATTTCTAATCTGTACGTTTGACAGATTCACAATTAAGGCAAGAAAAAATAGGCTTATGATAACTAAAGTCTTAATACATAGCAAACACTAGGTACATCTATTGGACTAGCAGATTTCGTGGTGTATATATTACGATCGTATTAATTTTTAAGTTGAATTTACGATCTAAAAAATCAACAGTTGTCCTTTGTCTAGAGCAAAATTAACGTTGAAATATGATGATAGGAAACTGTTTAATAATATTTTAATAAATTAATTTTATTTGACGGCTAATTCGCAAAATGCATCAAAAACACGTTTGATATTTTGTAAAATTAACTTTTGTCGCAAATGTATTGTCAAGTTACGTCATTGTCGTGCTTCACGCGTTTGAAAAAAAAACAGTATACTTTGTACTTGTAATGGTAAAAGCGTAATGACGAAAAATATAACCACCTAAATGCCATCCTAGCAGCGCATATAAATACTTTTTTCTTCATAGTAAACCATTTTATGTTCAAGTGTTCTATAAATTAAACTTTATTGTCTCGATCTCTCTCGTTCTCTCTATTATTCCGGTAATAAGTAAACAATTTTTTTTTACATAAAAATTATAATTTTACACATAAATGACGATATTTATTTGGACCAATGAGAACATTATTCGCATTTCATAATAAACCAAATTTGTTCCTGGTTAACGTTGTATTATTTTATAACACAACTTAACGTTAACCAAGAAAAAATTACTTATAAAATAATAATAATTTTTAAAATTTACCCTGTATAAGCACATCTATGGCACTCCTTATACTATTAAAAAAACCCGTATGCTTAATAAGCATTGCTTATTCAATAAACTTATGAACAACGTGTAGTTTTTGAGGGACTGATTACAAATTTGATATCCATTTTTTTTAATAAAATGGCTGATCCAATATGACGAAAATTTGTCGTTCGGCTTTAATGGTTTGGGTAAAATTTAGTATTCAGATATTTATGGGGTCACTGATTCAGAATTTGATATCCATTAAAAAAAACAAAATCGCGGATTCAAAATGAGGAACATGCGCAGTAGGTACAAGATGGTTGGATCTATGTGGAGTAGTTACATCATATATGCGCAGTAGTTTTCAGATGGATGGATCAAATGATTCAATCCATCCATCTGAAAACTACTGCGCCTATATACTGGATGTAACTACTCCACATAGATCCAACCATTTGATTCAAATGCGCGACATTTTGTATTCATACTTAGGTACTTTTACCACGAGAGAAACGAGACGAGACGAGAGAAAGGCACTCTCGAGCGAGAAAAGAGTATTCTCGACGAGACGAGAGACCCATTTTCTCTCGCTGCACGAGACGAGACGAGAGAAAGACTTTTCTCGTCTCGTCTCGCGGCATCACTAATATGAAGTGATTATAATTTGTATTAGGCTAGTAACACTGGTTTACAGCCAAAATGTACATTTGATGGCCACTATTAGTTTTTAATGTATTTTGGCCTTCTAAACTACAAATATCACTCTCTTTACCTTTTCGCCTAAAACGAATAAAAATCATCGAAATATGAGTACTTATTTACGAAAAAAATCAGGATGAGTACCAAAGTTATGATCATTTATACATGTGTACAAGTAGCAAAATTCAACTTTTTGTTAATTTTTGGACTTTAACGTTATTCATAGAATGAACTGTAGTATTATGCAATAAATTTACAATCTAATTCGAGGAAAAGTTTTTGTCGTTGATATTTTAATTACTGAGATTTTTTGTTAAATTTTTTATTTTGACCTTGTTATGTCAATATAGTCAATATGCCAATTTCTTAGATTGATACAACATGTATTAGGGGTTAATAATCTATGCATGTATTGTGTTGTCAGAGAACACAGTAGATAAACAATTAAGATCTTTCGTTTAACCTATCAACACTTATCTTTCCATCTTTGGATTTAATAATCATCGAAGATTGGCTGCAAAATTATGTAAAAATTGGTATTTGTTCTATTATTTTACATTATATTTTTGGTCACATATCTTTTATTACTTTAATGAACATGCGTAAATATATTACAGAAAATCCATTATTGCATTTAAACTTTTTTTTTTAATCTCAGTAACCAGAGGAAAATTTCGGTCCATGAGATTGTTAGATGAACGAATGGTGGGAAATTATATTTGGCTCATTATAAGAAAACCAGATACCGATAAAAAACAAAAGATAACCAAAAAGATAAAATTATTTCTAATAAATTGCTGTCATTAAAACACTACAATAAAAAGAAACTAAATCGATTTCATAAGCTATGAATAATGTCAAATTCAAAAATGGTGTGAAAGATAAGTGGAATAATTTTATTGTTTCACCTACTGAGTTATCTGACACAACACAATAACAAAAAACAGTAACGTCGACCTTGGAAAATAGCCCATTAGTAGAAGCGACATTGCACTGGGAATTTTAA